GGGAATATCGATTCCACCCTCCTCCTATTTTACGCTCACACATTTTTTGTCATTTACCCAACTACCAGCACATGTTCAACCACTCTCCTACGATTTCTCTCTTGCTGACCCACTCTCGATATTTCATTTATCCAATCTCATTAAGAACCAGCTGTTCCTAAGAGAGTTTCAAGATTTAAAATTGTATTCTTCAAATATCAATGTTTCTAAAAATAGCTTATACACATCTCTCCTATTTTAAAACAAAACATCTGTTTCTTGATGTAATTTAGGCCCAATTAGTTACCCTGAACGACTAACAGTGCAGAGGGATATTTGAGTATCTGGGCCCAGATTAAGGGTGTGGGCAGCTGCACTGTTAGAGCTCCTCTGTTAATGACCCGCAGTTTTTACGGCCTTGCCTTGCCTTCATTTAGCTGCCGCTTCTTAATGGAGCTCTGACTTCTTGAAGCAATAACCACCCCCTCTAACTGCTGCTCGGCTTGACTGTGGTTTGGGAAACCAGGCGTCTTTGTTTGTTAGGGATATATGTGTGTGTATATATTTTAAAGTGCACTGTTTGTGGAGGGGGACTGAAGGAGTAATGAGGTGGGGAGAGAGAATTAAACAGCTATCCTGCTAGGCTGGGTCCAGGCAAGGTTACGTGGGTTCTGAGCCGAAATTGCTCCTACAAGACCCCAGGTTGAGGAAAGCACTGGTGTTCATTTTCTACCTTACTCGTCTGCTAACTTACCAAGTGTCTTCATCCAAGGCTGTTGTTTTTTTATTTTGACACGTGAATTTGTGTACAGGTCAACTGATATATGTCTATGCATGTAGAGAAATTATTAAAAGAACACTAGTCACCAAAAGAAAAGGAAAATTTACTTCACCGATATAGGAGCTATATAATAATGTTACTTATCCTGTCTGTCTTCACAGGTAGAAAATTATAAAAACAACAGTCAATAGTCACCAAATGAAAATGAGAAGCCCACTTCACAAAATACAGAAACAATAATAGTGACAAACTGTTCAAGACTCACTTTAAAAACAAAAGTTTGTTTGCTGTTTTTTAAGAGAGAGAAAGGGAGAGAGAGAGAGAAACCTCGATGTGAGAGAGAAACACCAGTGTATGGGACAACGCACAACCCACTGAGCCACACCGGCCAGGGCTGAAGACTCACTTTCAACTGTCTAGTATACACGGATTCATACAGATTAACTGTGTTTAGGAACTTGGTCAACTGTGCAGATGTTAAGAACCACTATAAACCTAAACAGAATTTTATAACTTTTTCTTTCCAAACATGTCTGTATTTTATAATAGCTTTTTACATTAGCAGATTATTAACACCTGTGTTTGCTTAATACACCTAGATTTCTCCCTGAACATATCATTCTGATAAAAATCTAACATGAAAGAAAAGAAGAATGGAAATGAGAAAAAGAGAAACCTTTTTTTTATATGTATAGCAATATTTTCTTCAGGCCAAAGACCAAAAGCACATGCTAATTTGCAGAGCTGCAGTGAAAGTGTTCTAATTATACGCTAGTCTCCTCACCTGTGACTTATGCAAGGGCAAAAACTCGACTCCACCTGGCTTTCTGTGACCTAGAAGGCCTATGGCTCTGAGCCTGGTAGTCGGTATGATGTATCACCAGAGGTTACAAGCTATGTTATTATGTTTCTTAAAATAACAGAAGCACTATATGTACAAAATACCATCAGATTACCTGCTTTTTTGAATTCCCTTTACTAATGTTACCATTTATTAGGATGGATCAATGGGAATTAGTGCTGGTTAAAACCTTTCTGCATATGTCTATAAGTCCTGAAAAATATGTTTTAAATAGACATGAAAACAAAGAGTCCAAAATGAAATTCTTCCAGTCCGTGGTAAAATTTGTCTTAGCGTATAAAAAATAAATCAGGTATTTTCCTTGAGGCTCATTCTCGGGGCACATTTTGTTCTAAGCTTTTGTTTGCTTTTGGCAACAGCGTTTAAGAGAAAACCAACTGACCATTTACAACCCAAACAATGGCTGTGGAGCAGCCGTAAGAAATGCACCTGGCCAGACTCAAACGACACGTTTGTTTAACCTGGTGACTTTCCTGTGTCTGGGGGTCAGGCGGGAGCAACCTTGGTGGGGGGAAGGAAAGAAGAGCAAATATAACTGACTCACTGAGAACAAAACAGTTGTACTAACTATGCTTTGTAATTACAACTGTTTTAACAGTTTCTAGTAGGCAAGGCTATCATTTAAGTGACCCACTATAATTTGGATGAAGCCCCAGGAAATTATGCCACTTTGGAACAGGAGTTGCATTCCTGATTTTACTCCGCGTGGTGAAGCCACTGCAGTGCGGAGCAGTCCTTCTTTGGTGCACATTTACATCAAGGGAAACAGTGACAGTAACAGTAGCTAGAGAGGGAAAGAGTAGCACGACATTCACTGCTAGCAGCTGACCCTTGTTTATCTTACTTTTGCATCTTTTTCATTATGGAACATTTCAATCATATAGAAAATATGCAGAGAACAGAATGAGGAACCCCACAAACCCATCGTTTAGTTTCAACAATCAACACATAACCAGTGTTATTTGACTCGCTCCGACCCACTCCCCTCCTTTGAATTCTTTCTTTTTTAAAGCAAATCCCTCACAGCCCATATTTTATTTTATATAAGCTTTCATTTACGATATATGTACATATTTAACCTAAAGATTACTCCATAAATCTCATTGAGCATGACATGTTTTAACCAACTTTAACCACCTGTAATAAAATGTTTTACACGAAAACCTATCTGCCTAGAAAACTAATTTGTTTGAATATAATTGGTTAATTAAAATGACACAGTAACTTGAATCGTAACCCTTTATTATTTTATTTATAGGGGGAAAGGAACATTCTGAGGTTGAGAAAATAGTGCATGTTCCCCAGTCCCTGTGATTCCAGTCTTTGTGGACACTGATTAACAAGAGACAAGGTTAAAAGTAGCAGACTCGGCCGGATGGAGCTTGGAAAAATGGGAGGAGGCTTAGAAGGGCAGGAGGAGAGCCTAGAAGGAAACGTTTCCCTTTGCCTTCGCCACACATACAGAATAAATCAGAATGCCAATAGGCCAAACCTCGGACGCTTCAAAAATCACTCATCAGGCAGTCTAGCTACTTATAATAATTTATTACCAATCTTAAAGCAAAGATCAAAAGAAACTCCATCCAGCATTTATATTCAATTCCTCATTGCCTGATGACTAATTTGTAGAGGAATGAAGTCTTCACAAGGCAAGCCAAAATAATCCGAGGTGACTTTGATACAATGCCACAAAGGATATGAAGAGGAAGCTGGTAGATGCTGCAAATGGCTAAGTTCAATTAAGAGTTCTAATAAAAGAATAATGGAATTTCCCTTAACTGTGAATTAAAAAATGTTCGAAGTGGGCAAAATTTAGACAAACCAGGCAACACATTTGTCACAGCCTTTGGTTGTTGTTGTTGTTGCTAAATCTTAACTTCAGCCACGGTGGCATGTATGTCCGTGACATGGCTTCATCTAAAAAAATGCAACATTTCCATCAGAAATCTGGCCCATCTCATCCTTTTGCTTCTGTATATTACTTATCAGCCTGGACCTCTGTCTGCATGGTCAGACGCAGCGGGCTCTCGATCTCTTTCAAGCAAACTGCTGTGTTCTGGAGAGGGGTAGATTTAACTTCAGAAAAGTGATTGAAATGATATCATTTTAGTGGTGTATGGAGCCATGGGCACATGGAGAAGCATAAATACCTCTTTTGAAATTATTGATGCTTAAGTCAGTTGGTCAGTACAGAAACACCAGAAGCTATTCAAATTCTTTCAACTCCTATGAACAACTGGCACGGTTTTCTCCTCCTGGATCCAGACAGCTTCGTATTCTCCACTGAGGAGGGTAGTTTTCACACTACTCATTTTGGCTTGTTAGAAACCCCCCACCACATGTCTCCTTGTAAATTCACAGATAAAGATTTAAGTTTATATTAGCAATTCAACTGTGCACATTCCGTTTGCTTCTGAAATCACCTCCAGTTCACAGATTTACTGGAACCTTACGTGATAAAGAAGTTCTGCACAACTCTCAGAAATCTTGCAATGTATTTCCTTCTGAAGATGTGATATTGAGCATTTTCTTTAAAAACAGTTATAAGTTTTTTTTAAAACGAGTCCTTATCTTTTACAAATATACGGTGAAATGCTTGTAAGTAATAGGGTGTCTGGGAATCCCTCAAACGCAGGGAGTGGAGAGCGTGGGATGTGAATGACCAGGACTGGCCACGGGTACGTAACGCCATGGGACGGATGCGCAGGGTCCTCTGTGAGGGAAAACTGCTGGCGGTGGGTATTTCAGAGATAATACTATGCACTGCTTTGTGCTAGGGTTTCTAGTCAGAAAAATAACTTGCTATCAGGAGCAATGGAGAACCAAGAGTTGTCAGTTGATATTTCAACTATTTGTACCAATTCAAAAGCCAAGTCTATCATTACACTGTTTGGTAAGAGAGAAAACCAGCCCAGCCAGTGTGGCTCAGTGGTTGAATGTTGACCCACGCACCAAGAGGTCACCGGTTCGATTCCCGGTCAGGGCACATGCCCAGGTTATGGGCAAATCCCCTGTGGGGTTAGGGTTAGGGTCTCTCTCTCTCTCCCTCTCTCCCTAAAATCAATAAAGAAAATATTACCAAAAAAAAAAAAAAGAAGAAGAAGAAAACCAACCAAACAAAATCACCCCAAAACCTGTTTTCTCAGTCTAAAATTTCAGTGACAATAAGTGACTAGATGTTAATGTGAATAAAATATAATTATTTTAATTCAAAACACAAATTTTCTGGTTCCTTTTAAAGACACAGAGCTGAAAATTACAACAGAAACAGAAATGGAACTGGTAAGTACTTTAAAATCACTGTACACCAGGGGAAACTGTGCCATACATTTAGAAAGACTTCTACTACCCTATATGCGAATCACACGCATCTCTTACCTTGTGATCGTATGGGCGGTAAGAATGAAACACCCGAGAGAGATCTTTTGTTCTTTGCTTTTTCTGTGGAAGAAAACACAGACATCTGAGTTGATAGGTGGCAAAACATACACCACATATATATCTATATGTATATCTACCTATCTGCATTTGTTTCTCTCTCTATCCGCTTATTGAGAGAGTCTTCCTTAGGCAATTTGAGGGCTACAGTGTCAACATGGGACATGGGGATTCAATTAGAATCCAAAGCCACTCGACGGTTATGTGGTCGTTGTCACAGACCAGCCAGGCAGCCTCTTCCTAGAAGGTTTCATAATTAAAACATGAATCACCAAAAACTCTATTTATAAGCACATAACTTCGAGGCAAAATTTAAAAAAACAAACACTGTGAAAAGAAAGAAAATGCTTTGAATTTCACTGTAATACCAACTGCTGTTGCTCTGAATCGGGCATTTGCATTGTCTATTTAAACAATATAGCTCCTTCCGGCCTCCTGGTCACAGCCTGGGTCTGTCTGCTGGACGCCACCCTTTGTTCTGCCACTGTTATGTAGTACCGGTGCCTTGCATGGGGTTTCATGCACCACAGGCCGTCAATAAATACTTGCAAAATTAATGAAACATCTGAGTTAGACAGGCATACAACTATAAGTATGTGTAATGATGGTACCTAAGCCTCATATATAGTTATGAAAAGCAAAGCTTCTTTTCACATCTGTTGACATGTTCTTCTCAAGTTGAACCCAGGCACTACTCAAGTTCCCTATGTACCCCCTGCTCCCCCAATGTTACAATGAAGAAATGTGGAGTTCTTGTACTAGAGTTGACCATAAGAAGCGGCTTGTTTTCCCATACACCATAGTCTGTACACTTGTTAAAACGACCATGAGCCTGGCCAGTGTGGCTCAGTGGTTGAGCGACGACCCATGCACCAAGAGGTCGCTGGTTTGATTCCCAGTCAGGACACATGCCCAGTTTGTGGGCCCGATCCCCAGTGGGGGGCGTGCAGGAGGCGGCCAATCAATGTGCTCTCTCATCCATGTTCCTATCTCTCCCTCTCCCTTCCTCTCTCTTTAATATCAGTAAAGAATAAAAAACAAAAAAAACTGACCATGAACAGTTTTGTGTATGGTTCTCGATCTTCTATGCATATATCTTCACACACAACTGATTATTTTCAAAGAAAGGGGATCGTTCTCTGTACAACATTCTTAAATTTATTTTCTCCACTTTACGATGTGTCCTTGCCGAACTCACAGGCTAGTATATACAGATCTGCAATCCTTTACAGAGTTCTCACACCAAAAATGTCTGCAATCTGAACTTTTTTTCTATAATTCATTTCAATTTTTAATATAATGAGTATCTTTGCACAAATCTCTGCCAGCTTAAGAGTGGAAGTTTTTAAAAAGGTAACTTATAGAAGCCCGGATGCAGGATCAAATGGCATGCACACTGATGACCTCGATGGTACTGCCGACTGCCCTCCCCACACAGCCCTGAGCTGAGTGCCTGCTCCCCAGCAGGGATGAGAGAAGGAGCCGTAGCTTAACTTGGAAATTCTTCATTTCTCTTTTGCACTTAAAGGTTGTGATATTCTAAATTACCGAATAGATAAAACATTTTAAAAACAGATAAGAAACATCTCGCCAGGTGCCGATTACAGAATTTCTCTCTTATGCATCAGAGTTAGACGACCACAAACTAAAATTCTGCCAGGAGAGTGACCTGATGCCCTTAATTCTCCCCTTGGGTTGCTTCTGGTTCTAGTTTGTTGATTTTAATCCAACTACCAGGTAAAGGAGCTTCTTTTATCTTCACTTGAGAGTGAACCCTTGCCTAGGACCCATGTTTCCCAGGGAAGCATTTCTTTCTTTTTTTTTTTTCAATCCTCATTTTTTTTCATTTATTTTCAGACAGAGCGGGAAAGGGAGAGAGAGAGAGAGAGAAAGAAACATCGAGTTCAGCTCATGTAGCTCAGTAGTTGAGTGTTGTCCCATGCACCAAGAGGTCACCGGTTCGATTCCCAGTCAGGGCACATGCCCAGGTTGTGGGCCTAATTCCCAGTGGGGGGTATGCAGGAGGTGGCCAGTCGATGTTCTCTCTCATCAATGTTTCTATCTCTCTCTCCTTCTCACTTCCTTTCTCTCTAAAATCAGTAAAGGAAAAAAAGAAACATCGACGTGAGAAAGACACATAGATTGGTTGCTTCCTGCATGACCCTGACCAGGGCTGGGGACTGAACCGCAACTGAAGTACGTGCCCTTGACCAGAATCAAACCTGTGACTCTTTGGTCCATGGGCCAATGCTCTAACCACTGAGCAAAACTGGCCAGGGCATCTTTTCTTTAAATGCCAGTATCTGCATGAGCATGTCTGCCATCCCTCCCAAATGCCAGGGATCTAAGCAGACACCTCTGGGATCTACAGCCACTTGGCTAAGGATTCATGTCTGCTATTAATTAAGACCTTGTATCAAAGTCATTTGTACACATTCTTTGTTTTCCGGTAGACCAGTTTCCCTATTTCAGAACTGTCTTTGGAGCCACAATTCTAGTTGGCAGTCTTTCAAATCACTTGGCCTTGTTTCCATGTTCGGACACCCATTCAAAGTTCTCCCTGCCGCTCAGCCAAAACTCCCACCTCCCCTCGCCCACCCCTCGGGTGTGCATCTGATCATCGAACTCGACTTGAACACCTCTCTTCCCCAGACCGCAGAGATGTACCTCTAACGGACTGGAAACAGTCCTTGGCAATATGAGCCCTGGAATCTGTTCTGAACAGGTCACTTGCCACCAAAGTTTTCATTAGCTTATAATTTTCTCTTTCATTCCCATACACCCACTTAGTTGATTTAACAGTTCTTGGCTTATACTTCAATCAGAAGAAAAATGACGGATACTAACACTTCCTTTGGTAGGAGACTTAATATAAAACATGGGGAATTTCTTTTTTTCAGAAAGGAAATTATGCTAGAGAAGATAAACTAGGGAGCAAAGCAATATGAAACTTAGGAGGTGTCCTCAGGTCTGTTCAGTCCCAGAAATGGTTGAGCTACCAGCTTGAGTTGGCAAGTGGATACAAAATATTCCGAGGTTGTTTTGTGTGCCTTTTGTGGGTTTTTATTTTATATGTCTAATTTGATAGCTAAAGATGTCTTTTATTATAAGCTATCTCAGATTATTTTGGGAAGGAAGTGGGGTATAAATGATACATAAATACACTATTCGGATTAGCCTCCAGAGAAGCCAGTGAAGAAAGAATACTCTTTTTTTTCTGACAACAAATGTATTATATATAGACACAGTGAAGTCTTAGCTATAATATTGAAGGTTATATGTACTAATACAGTTAACCAAAAAGTATTGCTGTTTTTCCTGTGAGGTCAGAGTAGCCCAGTGGTATGTCCTCTGGGATCCGAATAGGGGTTGACAGAGGATGGCCCATGGGCCAGTCCAGCCCACCACCTGTTTTCGTCAGTGAAGCTTTACTGATACACAGCTACGCTCAAGTCAGTTATGAATGCTTTCATGCTACAACAGCAGAGCTCAGTGGTTACAACAGAGATTGTATGGCCCATAAATCCCAAAGTAGTTACTGTCTACCCCTTTACAGAAAAAGTTAGCCAGCCTTGATCTTCAATATCTGTCTCTGACCATGTCTATATCTGACGGTAGTCCCTTGACCCCAAACCAAATGAACAACTAAGTATCCAACAAAATTCCTTGCTCCTTTTAAATACTTAGTGAAGACGGTTCAAGAACCAACCACAGCCTATATCTTCACACATCAGGATGAACATACCAGCAAAATAACAATGAGCTATCTTGTTTTCAGGATTTTACCTTCTGAGCATTCTCTGTTCAGACAGCAAATATTATAAGTTGGTGTTTAGTGCATGCTGAAAAGATATGGGATTCCAGAGCCTCTGTATTCACGTCGTAACTGCTGATGACAGACATTCTGAAAAGAGACCCTTTACTAAGGTCTAGCACTAAAGCCAAGCAGAGGACTTCACATATAAACCAGAGTGTGAGCAGTTTCTCATATGAAGACAGTGTTAAGTGTACTGTGCTACAAAATAGGCTTGTTGAGCCTTGCTATCAGCAGTTTTAACTGAAACTAAAAGCTGAGCCAAAAAGGGAATAATTAGGTATTTTCCTATTGCATCATAGTATGTGTCTAAATTACCTCCCACTTTTTAGCCTGTTAAAACAAACATCTCAGTCATGCAACCACCTGTTCATTCTCCAAGTGTTTAAAAAGTAAACATGTTAAACAAGTGGTGTGATGAACCTGTAACGAGGGTGGCCAGACTAGTGAGCATGGCAGTCAAGTCTCCCAGCGCCGTATGACGTACCTTCAAATCATCTTTGCCATTAGTCCCAAGGATCAGGCCACAGAGATGAAAGCTTATTAAAACGTAACTCCATGCCAAGCCCTGCAGGTATGTGGGCTGCAGTTTGGTTTAAAAGATAAGGCAGCATGCGAACTTAGTAAAGCTTCCAGATTTCTGACGAGCTGCACATCTGCAGATCCCCATCCTCCAGGCACTTCCTGGACCGCTCTTGTATTCCACTCAAGGACAGAGGACACGACCGACCCCTTTTGTATCTGTTAATGCTCCTTTTCAGACAAAACCAAACATAACTAAAGGCCCCAAGGGAGCATTTGTAATAGTTCAGGTTTCCAGACAACGTAACATTTTTCTTGTTTGTTAAAGGTGTGCAACAGCTCTGACCCCCCCACCCCCAAAGGCTCCGCGGGGATGAGAACCCATACCTTGAAGGTGAGGTTATAAAATCAGTTAATTTATAACAACATCCACCAGTTTAACTTCTCCTGGTTCCCCAAACTAATTCCTGTGCTCATTCTCTACTTATAGATGAAAACTTTCTCAAATAAAATAAAATAAAAAAGCTTTCTCAAATATATTAATTGTCCATAGTGTTAAGGTAAAACTGTAACACTATGAACTTCGTTTCTACATCTGGATTTTCCAAAATGATAAAGCCTTTGGAGCTTCCCGAGAGTTTGATGTGCCTCAGCTATGTTGTAATAA